GTTCGCTTAGTACAGTCATAGTCATGAATCCTTATGCAGCATCACTGCACTGAAGCTCTGGAATGAAAAAATAATTTGACAAAACTGCTGGACAAAACCCAGATTCCACAAAAAACTGCACACACTTCTTTCGTCCTTCGACACTTCATGAAAACAATAGAGATGCATTCTGAGCGTGCAATGCAGCATGAAGAACATACGAGCGTAATGCATTAACACTCAAGCAAAGCCATTCTCATCGCATTCACACTTCCTCCTCAATGGCGCACCAGAGACACTTTATCTCTCAGCGTGATTTCACACCACAAACACCCCCCATCTTCACTGAACATCCCCGGGACCGACGCACAGCGCTGGCTCCACTTCAGATCACATGAACTGTGCATACATTTACTGACTGCTGACTGAGGGGCGTTTTCACACCACACCGTTTTCAACTAAATACGCAAAACTTTTGACGCGTTTTTCCGTTGATTTACATTTCAACTTTTTTGGACGTTTTTGAAGACGGTCTCTGTGTAAATAACCAAAACGCAAATTTTTGAAGATGCTGACATCATGCACATGCGTATTACGTCTTCAATCTATAGTGTTTCTTTCAACGCCATCTAGTGGCCTGGCAGTAGAATACAGCGTTTTTAGTCGTTTTCGCGGATCTGTGTGAATGGGGATCGTTTTGACAGTGGTGTCGTCTGCCCGCGGAAAACTCAAAGGCAAAAGTTCTCCTTTTTAAATATATCGTTCCACATAAACGTATCCCACTGTTCGAAGTGACGTCTTTTCTACGTAATTCTTTGACGTCCAGTTTCGGTCCACTGAAGGGGTTGTTTTGTAACGCCAGGCGGAGTCTTTATTCGACGTCCGTGAGACCTCCGTGTAAGGGTTATTTATAGTCCAGCTGTGGTCGTTTGTGGACGTCTTTTCAACATCAAATTTAGACTAATTTTAGACGTTGTTTTTATACTACTTCTATAACTGCAGTCCCATGTTTCTAAAGGGTAGAGGACATGTTTTCTGTAGCATGTATTTACATTTATGCATTCGGCAGACGCTTTTATCCAAAGTGACTGACATCGCATTACACATTTTAGGGCTGTGAAACGATTAATCGCGATTAATCGCATCCAAAATAAAAGTTTGCGTTTACCTAATATATGTGTATGTAGTGTATATAATTATTTTGTATATATAAATACACACATATGCATGTATATATTTAAGAAAAATGTGTTATTAATATATCAAATATTTATATTTATGTATAATATTAATTTTGTATAAAGTATATAATGCAAATATTTCTTAAATATATACATGCATGTGTGTGTATTTATATATACAAAATAAAATATACACACACACACATATATTATGTAAACACAAACTTTTATTTTGGATTCAACGTGGCGGTGACGGTGGCATCAACGTGGCGGTGATCTTGGCGTTGCAAGCGCCAGCGCTACTAGACAATCATTTTTGGAACATTGTCTTGAATTATTAATCTGTTAGGGTTAGGGTTAGGTATACATAATCTGTATGCATATGTATTAATCATGTTGATAACAACGTTGAGATTTGTAAATACAAAATATTACAAACTAATCATGTCTATTTCTTGCACCTTCAATAGACGTCCAAATGAGGTCCAAAAAATGACCCAGTTCAAAGGTCAAATGTTGAACGTCAATATGACGTCCAAGTTGGGTCATGGATGGACGTCCGTCGAATAGAGAGCCTAAGTCCCTCCCCTTCTGGTCGACCACCATGGGACCTTATTTCGGAAAAATATTGAATGGTAGTCAATGGCGAGAGACAACAAATATTTTGATCTGGTTTGAATTGTGCCCTGAATTACACATATGATGTTCGTCAATTTAAAAGATACATTTGAAAGTAAAGAAAGTCGCAGTTTGATGTAAAACCGTTGAGGTATAAGACTGTGAAAATACGTAATTACAAAGACTACAAACCCCAAAGGCGCACATTTTCTCTCAATGAATGAAGCTAACTTTACTGAGGCTAATGTCTGTCATTGTTTCTACAGTCTTACGTTATAATCGTAACGTTACGAGTGTTTTGTACCAGACTGCACACACACGAGCAGCCGATCTCACTCGTTGTTTTGCTTCCTGGGAGATGTAGTTCACAGAGCGATTTTCACATAAAACTAAATATGACTCTTTTGTTTTATGACAAACTGCGACGTTTTTGACTTTCAGAATTATCTTTTAAATTGACAAACATCATATGTGTAATTGAGGGCACAGGTCAGACGGAATAAAAAGATAAGTTGTCTCTCGCCATTGACTACCATTCATATTTTTTCCGAAATGAGCCGGAAGCGGGGGGGCGGGACTTAGGTTCTCTATAGATGGACCGACGGACCCAATGTAGACATGATCTGCTCGTCTATCCGATGTTTAGTAGGCCGTTTTTAACACGTTTTGTTATTTTTATGCTTCTGTCGGATCAGCCCGGCTGCTCTCTGTTATTTCCCTGAAGAGCATCGCTGCCTTCAGCTGGAGTAATGCCGTCTGAAGTGGAGTTCGCTCTCCAGTTCCTCCTCGAGAAGCAGCCTTTCAGACGTACAGTGTGTGCTCTTGAAAGCCAGTTTCCCAAAACACACATTGATCTTTGGAGAAAATGGATAGAGCTGATGTGACTCATAATGTGGCGGTGTAATTTTCAAGTTTTAATGGATGAGATTACGTGAGATCTCTTGAGATTTATTCAGGGTGAGATTCAAAACACTGCCTGTAAAAATGTGTTTATTTGTACAAAAGAAAAGCATTACTCACTGTAGTGTATGAATGTTCAGTTTTAAATATAGCTGCAGGCAGCAATTAAGCACAAAAAGGCATGATGAGGAACACGGGGAGCATCAATCCAGCCGAACAATGAGGAATTTAAGACGTTTTAGATGATTTTAGACAAAAGTGTGGAAAAATCCTAAATATAATCACTTGCAATTTGATTTTATTGCTTATTACTTTCCACACAACATGACAAAAGGACATAATGACTAAACATTTTACTAAAATTACCATTAAAACTAGACTAGAAAATATTCCAAGTATTCTAAAAACTTTATTAAATTAATTGGAAATTTGGGGTAATTTATACAAAGTGTTTCATATACAAACAACTAGGCCACAATGTAGCGTGTCCACAACGCACACACATTTTGCACACACATTTTTGTCATCCATACATAATTACAAGGAAAATTATCACCGCACGAAAGAAATCATGAAGATGTGGAAAAATAGGCACATATACAATATATTACAGATTTAGCCAAATTATTATACGCCTGTTTGACCGAAGCTAATGTGTGTGTGTTTCTCCTTCCCCGTACAACGCCACTTCTCTGTGTGTTACAACCCTGACGAGAACGTCCTGCCGTGCGTCTGCAAATCCGCTGCTAAAATATAATAAAATAAAAAAGCGCGCCGGCTCTTAAAGGGAATGTGAGATGGCGCTCTGATTGGTTTATTTTACGTTACGCCCAAACCACACCTACGAGTAATGTAGCGACTTCAGACCAACACATTTTAGATTTGCACCGGGATCCGCCCACAACGTTACTTGCTTTCCGCGTTTGATGCTTGCGTTTCAAAACGCTAAAATAGGACCCATTAGCATTCAACACTTACAGTCTCGCTCTTCCGCTAAAATGCATCATGGATTTTTCACATCACATCTTCTGTCCAATCAAATGCTCTCTAGAATCTAAAGCCCCGCCCCCTATACTGTAAACACCACCTGGCCAAAGTGGTTACATAATGATTCACTTCCATGGTGCTGTCAAGTAGGACTCGCAGTCTGTGAGGTGGACTAAAGGCTAGTGGCTATTGGCTCTTTGAAAAAGGGGAGGAGCCATTCAATATTTCCTGCCTTTGATTCTGTTTCAGTGGAAATAACGTAACGCATCAAACAAAGCTGCGCGATCCAAGGCACGTCAGTGGGCCTTCAAGTTCCCTGTTATAGGCTTAGCAAATTTCAAGTTTATTCCCATAAATTTCCATGGAAGGTTTCTGACATTGAAAATTCAACCCCTAAATTAAATAAAAATAGTTATAATACACAATGCATGAAAGAAAATATTCTTTCATATATAATATATAAAATGTAAGATGTTTTTAAAGGGTTAGTTCACCCAAAAATGAAAATTCTGTCAGTATTTCCTCACCCTCATGTTGTTCCAACCCCGTAAGACCTTCGTTCATCTTCGCAACACAAATTAAGATATTTAAGATATTAAGATCGCTCCTGCATACTAGTCCATAGGCTTCTTAAGGGAATGACTCTTGCTGGTCTCGAAAAGTCATTAAAGACATCGTTAAAATAGTCCAAGTGACTACAGGGGCTCAATCTTAACTTTATCAAACGACGAGAACACTTTTGTGTGCAAAAATAACGACTTTATTTCAACTATTGGTTTATTTCTCCCTCTGCGCGAGTCAGGTTACTAGTTTAATAGCGTAAGCTTCTGTTATTGTACGTCACACGCATCATCACACATGACCAGCGTCGGCCAATAGTGAGCCTTCGTGTGACGTAGCTTTACGCAATCACACTACGTTAACTGACTACAGGCTCATGGAGAAGGAAGTGAATAGTTGAAATAAAGTCGTTATTTTTGTTTATTTTTGCGCACAAAAGTGTTCTCGTCGTTTGATAAAGTTAAGATTGAGTTGACTATTTTAACGATGTCTTTAATGACTTTTCGAGGCCAGCAAGTGTCATTCCCTCAAGAAGCCTATGGACTAGTACGCAGGAGCGATCTTAATATCTTAAATATCTTAATTTGTGTTGCGAAGATGAACGAAGGTCTTACGGGGTTGGAACAACATGAGGGTGAGTAAATACTTTTGGGTGAACTAACCCTTTAAGGCTTATGTGCAATTTAGCAAATTTCAAGCTTATTCCCATTAATTCCCGTGGAAGGTTTCTGCCATTGAAAACTCGACCTTACGTGAAAGTAAAAGAGCACTTACACTGCACGATGAGCTCGACCACGGCCTCTCTGGGCTTGACGTTGAAGCCGTTGAACTGGCTGGTCTGGCAGCGGTAGGATCCGCTCATCTCGCGCGTCACGTTCACGATCCGCAACACGCCGTCGTAGCTCTCCATCTGCATGCTCCCGTCGGGCATGGGCGCTTCTTTATCCGCTCGCGACCACAGGATGATGGGCTTGGGTTTCCCTGAAACAAGGCACTCCAGCTCCACCGTCTCACCCTCCCGCACCGCCAGCGGGGACTTGCCCTGCGGCACGGTCAGGTTCGGGGGAACTAAGAAAGAGAAAAACAGAGGATGGACTGATATGGGACTCTAGAAAGGTAGTAGACGGGGTCGCTGAGGATGTCAACGCTGGCGGTTGTGCGTTTATGCATGCGTGTGGTTGCTGTTGCGTGGAAATATCCAAACCAATGGTTTCCAATGATCAAAACCAAACCGTTGAGCGTATAAAACACAAGGACCAAACGACTGAAGGAGAAAATGGAACAACGTGAGATAGTAAAGTGAGCCGACTTCAACATCGCATGCGCTTTATGGTCAGATATCTCTATTGTCTAAACATTTATGTAATTCAACACTATTCAACAACATAGTTCAGCAGTAGTTCAATCATCTAAGTAATGTCCTGATAACCAGATAAACGATGCTAACATTTATTCTCTAGGTCTATGATCGTATACAGTTATTTTAGTATCACTACTATTTTACTTTTCAAATAATTTTTACATTTTAGTTAAATATTTAGCTATTTTTGACATTTTAAATACTTTATTTCTACTTTAAAAAAAATGTCTGTATAGTGTTTTATACATCAAGATAAACTAAATGGAAATATGTGAAAAAATAAGTGCGTTTCTGTGTTATTTTATTCAGTAAACTTTCGTAAAGAAAGTACATAACCCTGATAATGTTAAGATCATGAAAATATTCTATTTTATTATCATTTAATTTAAGCATTTTATTTGTTTAATGGTGTAGTATAGGAATTCAAACATTTCCTCACCCTTATTCATTCAAATCTTGCAACACAAATTAAAATATTTTTAATGAAACCTGAGAGATTTCTGTCCCTCCCTTGAAAGTGCAAAACTTCAAAAACAAATTGCATCAACCAAGTACATTTGAGCTTCCTTTTATCATATTTGATGTTTATATGCACTTAATAAAATGTCCACCTAATTAAACCAGTATAACGTTGGGTCTCTCACCAAGGCTGCATTTATTTGATCTAAAACAGTAAAATATATATATTATTAATATGTGAATATATAGTCAAGTGTAATTTATTCCAGTGATCAAAGCTGAATTTATCATCATTACTCCAGTCTTCATTACTCCAATCACTCTAATATGAGGATTTGCTAATATTCAAGCATATAAATCTAACTGATACTGCAGAATCCACCCCGAACATATATTAGAAAATGTGTAAAGGAGCCCAGAAGCATTAAAACACATGCGGTCGCAAACAAACCTCAACAGAAATACAAAAGTTTTTGAACAATTCCTGAACAGTGTGGGCCACGTTTCACAATTTCTGTAGCACTTTATCGTTTCATATTTGATGAAACAATGCGGATGAGCTACAGGAACGTATGCGACTGAAAGAGTGCACGCGGCGCTTTGATCTGAGATCTGTGAAATCTGGAAGCAGAGATGAGAAACGAACAAACCTGCATCAAACATTAAAATTAAAGAACCTGATTTGCTTTATATCCACGACCCGGGAAAGACCCACCGTATCCTCAGACAGAATATTTCACAGGCCGCCGCGTAATAATAAGGACTTCTGTGGACACTTGCTCAATATCAGGGTGTATTATTAATAATGGATGTTATGCCAGGCTATTATCAGAAACAGAAACAAGCTCTAATGAATAGCTGTTACAGTAATGGAGAAGAAGCGCGAAACCCACCACGAGTGCATTAGACTCCAGCTGTCCGTCTCATAAACAGGTTGCTAACGCATCTCTGGGTGGCCGTTAGCGCTGTTAGCAAGAGGCGCTGCTGTTATGCTAATGAAACTCAACTCTATAATGCTGGACGGCCCTCGTGAGATTACAGATGACAGAGACACTGGTCTAGACTTTTAGCCCAATATATACATCACTTCATGAGCTTCTGGCTGGAGTCTCGTCCTCTTCACTGCTCAGTCTGTGTGAGAACTAAAACTCACTCACTCACTCACTCACTCACTCACTGACTCACTCACTCACTCACTCACTCAATCAATCAATCAATCAATCAATCACTCACTCACTGACTCATTCACTTACTCAATCAATCAATCACTCACTCACTGACTCACTCACTCACTGACTCACTCACTCACTGACTCACTCAATCAATCAATCACTCACTCACTCACTCACTGACTCACTCAATCAATCAATCAATCACTCACTCACTCAATCAATCACGCACTCAATCCCTCAATCACTCACTCACTCAATCAATCACTCAATCACTCACTCACTCAATCAATCACTCAATCAATCACTCACTCATTCAAACACTTTCACTCAATAACTCACTCCCTCAATCACTCACTCACTCCCTCAATCACTCACTCACTCAATCAATCACTCAGTCACTTACTCAATCAATCACTTACTCATTCAAACACTCTCACTTAATAACTCACTCACTCACTGACTCACTCAATCACTTACTCACTGACTCACTCACTGACTCACTGACTCACACACTCACTGACTCACTCAATCACTCACTCAATCACTCACTCACTCACTGATTCACTCACTCACTGACTCAATCAATCACTCACTCACTCACTTACTCAATCACTCACTCACTCAATCAATCACTCACTCACTGACTCGCTCACTGACTCACTCACTGACTCACTCACTCACTCACTGACTCACTCACTGACTCACTCAATCAATCACTCTCACTCACTCACTCACTCACTCACTCACTGACTCACTCACTGACTCACTCACTCACTGACTCACTCACTGACTCACTCACTCACTGACTCACCCACTCACTGACTCGCTCACTCACTCACTCAATCAATCACTCTCACTCAATCACTCTCTCACTCACTCAACCACTCACTGACTCACTCACTCACTGACTCGCTCACTGACTCACTCAATCAATCACTCTCACTCAATCACTCAATCACTCAATCACTGACTCACTCACTCACTCACTCACTCACTCACTCAATCAATCACTCTCACGCACTCACTCACTGACTGACTCACTCACTCACTCACCGACTCACTTACTCACTCAATCACGCACTCACTCACGCACGCACTCACTCAAACAAACACTCTCTAACACACACACACACACAC